ACTACTGTTCTGTCCAGTATGTCTGAAACTGGCTAACGAATGGGAAAGTTATTGAGGAGAGGATCAAATCAGAACAGTCATGGCAACAGAATCACATAAACCTAATTCCCTGCAGGTATGGATCTGAAAATGAAATGGTCACCTTGGCTGGCCATAAGCATAGCAGAATTTGACAGGTGTTTACACAGCCTGATTTTTAGCTGCAGTTTATATAAAACTGGGAGAAGTGGCTGATACACCAGATGTTTGTGCTGTCACCCAGAGGGACCTCAACAGGCTAGAGAAGTGGGCCAACAGGAACCTCAAGAAGTTCAACAAAGGGAAGTCCAAAGTCCTGCCTTTGGGAAGGAACAACCCCTCACCCCAGGACAGGCTGAAGACTGACTGGCTGAAGAGCAGTTCTGCAGAGAGGGACCGGGGGGTCTTGGTGGGCAGCAAGATGCCCTTGAGCCACCAGTGCTGCAGCAAAGGAGACCAACAGCACCTCGGGCTGCATGAGGAAAAGTGTTGCCAGCAGGTGAAGGGAGGTGATCTTCTCCCTCTACTCAGCCCTGGTGAGGCCACATCGGGAGTGTTGTGTCCAGTGCTGGGCTCCCCAGTACAAGAAAGGCATGGGTTTACTGAAGTAAGTCCAAAGAAAGGCCATAAAGATCATTTAGGGATTGGAGAAAAGCTGAGAGAGCTGGGACTGTTCAGCCTTGAGAAGAGAAAGCTCAGGAGGACCTTATCAATGTGTATAAGTATCTGAAGGGAAGGTGTCAAGAGGATGGGACCAGACTCTTCTCAGTGATGCCCAGTTAGTGGACAAGAGGCAATGGGCACAAATTGAAAAACAGGAAATTGCATTTAAATATAAGAAAAAATTTTTTTACTATGAGGGTGGTCAAGCACTGGAAGAAGTTGCCCAGGCAGGCTGTAGAGTCTCCACCTTTGGAGATATTCAAAACCCAACTGGACACAGCCCCCAGGAACCTGCTCTAGTTGACCCTGCTTTGAGGAGGGGGTTGGACTAAATGATCTCCAGAGGTCCCTTCCAACCTCAACTATTCTGTGAGTCTGTAAAAGTAACCCCATGGCTAGAGCTAGAGACAGCACATAAGATATGAGCAATAGCTGTTGACTAGACTTTCAAGTCCTGCATTCTAACTCAGAACCAAATACTAATTTTCATCCCATTTTCATTAATCCAGCAACTCCAAGGAGCACGCTTTATGCTTTGTAAATGGATTACTGCCTCCCGGGGCCTACAGTTTATGCACAGGAACAATAGCTTCCTCTGGTGGGGTAGGCCATTGCTTTGTCTTGGACACCCTCCACAAATAGAGAAGGGCTAACCCAAAAGTGAAGTTGCATCAACCAGCAGGGATTTCAGATAGCTCATTGCTGGGACAGAGATTAGGGTTAAGGGTTTTACAGCTGAAGCACAGAGACTCAAAAAAGCAACCTTTTATCCCACATCCCATCACAGTCTTCCGGTTTCACCTTGAACACAAGGGGTACGTGACATACTATGACACTGATTCTTGAGCCTTCAAATAGCCCTGAGCACAAGAAACGACCACAGAACTAGATTAGACCAACACTCTGTACTGCAAGTAGCCACAGAGAAAAAGTCCAGGCCTTCTTAAGGAGAAGTGGTTGCAAAGTGCCTGGTTACTCCCCTCTCTCCCCAGCGACCTGCTTCCTCCCCCCGCCCCACACCCTCCTGCAAACATCAATGTTTAAAGAACTATTAAAGAAAACAACTTCAAAACTCTTCACATAGTTCAAATACTTCATGTAAAAGGAATTTTAATTCTTACATCTCAGATTGCACTGGTCTCCAGCACGACATGCACTCGTCATGTTCAGGTTGTGGTGTTTGAGCTGTTCAAACAGGAGGAATGGAGCCATATGGTGAGACCATGCACTCAAAGACCTGAGAGCTGACAACATGCAGATCCCTACCAGCTTCGTCTCTGCCTTGCTGTGAGTGATGCAGCCCACTGCTCTCGGCCTCTACCTCCCTTCTCACGGTGCCTCCCCGTAACCTACGTAAAAAAGAAATCTTCCTGCAGCCAAGAGGCACACACCTTGAAGACCCAGCCAGTGGGAGCGCACTGGGAGGACGTGCTAACAACCCCTGACGGTCCTTCTGCTCCACTGTGGGACTGGGAGGGGTATGCAGCAGGGCTTTCAGTAAGTCTTTCTGCCAATCCTATTGCCTGGCAGCAGCGTGTAAACCAGATCAGAACTGCTTGTGATCTTATTGGCCATCACAGTCTGTTTCCTTCCAGAACGGGAGTTAAACACTCTGTCTCGCCCATCACAAAAAGGCCATGACCTATTCCTAACAGCAGATCCTCTCTGGCAGTGCTGACTCAAAACAAGCTGAGAAGCCAGTAAAGCTTTGCTGCTAAGCAAGGTCTATAGGATTGGGTTTTAAAAAAATCATTTTCCTCTGAAGAGTTGCCTCCTGAAAAGAGTACTGCCATTTGCCACCTGGAAAAGCCCTCACATCCCAATGAGTTCTGGCATCTCCCTCCAACATGTCAGCAGCAGTCGAATTGCTACAGAAGCCTCTCACGGGACCATGTCGGGCCTCACATTCCGCAGCAGCAACAATCGACAGAAATCTGTTCATCTCCTTGAGCTGCAGACAACTCATGTTTCAGATGCACCACTGCTAGGTAGGATGGCATATAGTGGGGCTATAGGGGCTCCCCAAAGATGTTCCTCTGCTGAATTCCAGACATGCCAGAGAGGAACCATAGAAAAAAGTCAATAAATGGCTAGAGACCATTATGGTCAAATTATGCTAAAAGACTACCCCTCCCTTCCATTCCTTATAGCAGTTGACAATCCATATATAGGAGTAACAAAATAGTAACAAAAGAGCCACCCCATTAGGCAAGAGGGGTTATCTGGGCCCCTGCTCCTTGGCAGAAGCCCAGGGTGCGTGCTTTTCAAGCGCTGGCGAGAGACCAGCGGGGCTGCACCACCACTGCTGGGTGAGCTGTTAGCACTGATCTTTGCTAAACGTTTTGGGGAAGCATAAGGTGTGATCAGGAAAACACTGTACCTTTTCCTACCCTCTCTCATCTGTGGCTACCCAGCTCCTGAACTTACAGAACAGTATTAGAGACACTACACACAAGTTACTGCCCTTTCCTGCCCCAAATCACGTTTCCTGTCCCACAACGTACAGTCCAACATGACTGGTGACATTTGCCAAGCCTGCTATTATGAAGCATAGCTTGGATCTGATAGAAGACACCAACAGTTGTGGAAACACAAGGGAGGTTGTGCTGTTGGGATTACAGACCATGCTTCAGAGAACAACCTTACCACAGACGTAGCTTTTAAGCTACCTCTCCTCTCCCAAAGTGTGACAGTACAGCTGAACAGTGCAGACAATAATTATTTTGTTATCAGCAACTTTCCTATCCTTTTTTTTTTTAATTGACAGCATTCCCCTCCCTGCCCATCCATGCCAGCATCACCAAAGCCTATTGAATTTTCTTCCATTCCTCTGACTATGCGCCGCACTCGCACGTAAACACACAGTGCGGCAGTACTCTTGCTCTGGGACACTTTTGTAAATTTTAACACTTACCAACTGGGTTGGCTGGGATGCATTGTATCTGTATTTTAGAAGGACCAGTACTTTCCACATTGCAGCTTTTCCCACTGACTTGCCCACTCCCTGCACCTATTCTGCATTAACTTGTTGCAAGGAGGAGCAATGAGAGAAAGCTCACTGCAAAGAAAGCATGAGATGAAAACCCACTATAAACAGGGAAGTGCCACAGTCCTTCCCATTCAGAGGCAGATCTGCCTTGAATGGCAGCCCCCAGGACTGATCTGCCTGCAAAGAAGACTGAATCACAGGCAAGTCAGCCCCCTTCAACTCACATTAAGCAAAAGAGTTCAAGCTACTGTATGCATCCTCCCCTCCACCACATGCTCCTCCTTTCTAACACAAATCTCTCAGTGGCACACAGGCACATGCACTCCCCTCAGAAGCAAGCAGCAGTGCTGTGATGTGTTGAAACCAGAGTCCTGTGAGATTCAGCTCTTGCTAATGACACTTTTTCATCAGCAAACTATAATTGGCAGCTGTTGTACACTACAGCGCTTTGCAACACTCATCTAAAGCACATGCCAGACTAGATCTTCACACTAAGATACAAAATTAGAGCAGATATCCCAAATAGCTCACTAGCTATTCCTGAGCAAACTAATCATGCCTACTCCACTGCAAAATGAGATGTAGTATATTTGCCCTGACCCATATGCACGTCCACAAAGGAAAAAAGTAGAAAGCTAAGTTTAAAGTGACTGATACAACTGTATATAATTGTAAAACTTAAATGGAATTTCACACCATCAAAGTGCAGGGTATTTAACTACTGTGCACATCTCAAAGCAAGAGCTATGAGCATTTTTAGTTTCACATTTTACAACATCTTCAGAAATGAGACTTTTTTTTCTCCCGGTTTAAGCAAATCTAGGCTCAAAATATGATTCACTCTTAGCGTGTAACATCTTTATTTGAGCTCAGGGGACTTTTGAAACAATCAGGCGCTATGTGTTAAGAGTAGAGCAATCTGGCCCATTACAAAATACTCCGATCTTGCTATGTTAGCTTTCACTTATATCCTGGACCTTCCCAGTCTCCTAACCTAGCAGAGAAACACAGCACAAAACTGCTATAAACTTACATAAGTTAACATTACTCCCTTCCTTATTCCCAGTTATTCAGACCCAACTCTGATGAAATAGTTCTGTAAGGATTATGGAGAAAGTCTTTTAACATGCTCAAAATCCTTTATGGAAGATCCTTTTCATCAGATTATTTTCATCAGATTATTTTAAAAGAATTAAAATTGCTCCCTGCATAACTGTCCCAGACCTGCTCACATTCACTTTCCTTGAGTTGTTCCTGAACAGTCTGTATTAAGAGCTCCCATCTATAAGCAGCAGTCAAACATATGAAAGGATCAGCACTTTGCTCCTACCTGAGAAGTCTGCAGAAGTCTTAGCAAAGCTGCTGAAAACTGTCAAGCACATTAGTCCTACGAGAAAGGTAGAGGTGGGAGACACATCTGGGCAGTGCATCCTTAAATATCCTCACGGCTTGTTTTCTTTCAGGGAGAAGGAAAGCAGTTTCTGCCCAAATTCGCTACTCATTGCCTGGAGAAAACTGTTAGTCACATTGCTTGAAAGGATCACAGGGACCAGCCAGGAAGGAAAAGCATTCAGTGCACGCATACAAACGCTCACACACACAGGCACACATCCCTGGGAGTGAATGAATCTGGACTGAGTGAGGCTGACGAATGAGACAGACCTACCTGAGCCTTGGCGGAGGTCCCAGGGTCCTAAAAGCCATCGCTTCACCAAATTTGCTCCAGACTACAATGTGCAGCTGTCCAGCAGCAGTGCGGCAGGCCATATTAGGTGCAAGGAGTTAAGAGAGGGCTAGCGTTCGGGTGCCCTGAGGGAGCTAGTTTGGAGAAGCCTAGTTGCTATTATTTTAAACACCCTGGGATCTTGTCTCTCTGGTGCAGACAAACAGAAGGGTGGGCAGTATTTTCAAAGGAGGGAGCCCAAAACAAAGCACCTAAATTCACAAGAATTTTTTGAGTGACAGGCACGTGCAGCTGCTGCTGAAATCCGTGGGAGAAGAGATGTTCTGCTAGACTGGTGACAGGACAATTCTTCAGATATTTCCAGCCTTGATCCTGCAATAGAGGAGATTTTGCAAGGGCCCAGGAATCAAACTCTCCTAGATCTGATTGAGGGACGGGGGCTGGTCTCGGCCCACAAAATCCTCCTCCTCCCTTCCGACAGAAACCATACAAACCAGGCTCCCCTCTATCCCACTGGACACCTCTCCCTTCCATCCAGCTCAATAGAGGAGGATTTTCACAGAGTTCATAACCTGCAGTGTTCAAACCCAAAATCTGTTTCCTTCCACAGCAGTTGCTTTAACCTCCAACTAGTTAACCTCCAACTAGCACAGCCTTAGCAACTGGCACAGCCTTAGGTGCTAACTCAAGCTCTGCTCACCCTGCAGAGTTAAAAGAGGGCTCCAACTCGGCTGGAAGTACATCCAGGACTTCATCCTGCCTCATTTCCATCTGCATCCTGGCAGCATCAAACCAGCAATGCTGTCTTGAAAAAGCTCAGTTGATCTCTGGAGACATGGAGGTGGACTGGACTGTGTCATGAGGACTTGCAGGTGGACCCCGATCTCCCTGGGTGCAGCAGGGAGATCTTGGGCTTTGGTCTTCAAAAGCTCTCAGAGATCAGCATTAGTTCCAGCCCAAACATAGGTTTTGTGTGTAAATAATGGACACAACCAATATATCTGGCTAGAGCAGAGGCTGACTGATAGTATAGATACGGGGAGGGTAGTTTTGATATATAAAGCCAACACGAGCAGTTTAGCTGTCTCTGTATAACTCATATACAAGCACTGTTCAAGCGTGGGGCTGCCAGGGATGGGCAGATGGAGCCAGGCACATATAGAGCTGTTGAACAAAGTTGCAGCTTCTATCTTGCAAAAATAACCTCAGTAGGAACACCCAAGTGAAAAGCACAACTGGTTTATATTCCTCTGTCCTGTTCATCCACACAGAATTAACCCAAACTTCCCCAAAACATTCACCTTAGAGCTGAGAATAAGCATAAGTGACATCATCCCAAAAGGCTCTATTTTTCAGAGCTGTGTGCACTTGTAAAGAGGTTCTTATGTTGAAATTTCTTCCAATGTTTCAACCGATCTCAGACCAAAATCAGACTGGCTGTCAGATTATACATGAAAGGCGTTTTCAAGAGCACTGCCATGAATACTGCGTTCATCATTTCCACCAGAGATCCATTCTGGCCCACACTGTAAAAAGTTGGCTCAAGAGCATCCGAACAAGAGTGTTCGGACCCCCTTTGCTTTCTGTCCATACTGCCACCCACCTCTGCCACCCTTGCTCAAGTTTCACCAGCCACAATGAGGATGAGCATAGCAGGGGCTATCATGTGTTTAAGCTTGAATCCTGTCCATACCCCATCCACTCAGGCCACGTGAAGAAGGGGCTGCTCCAGTCTAAAGTGCACCTAAGTGACCCTCCTTACCACAAACTGCTCTTCACATGCTGAGAACCTACACTGAAGGTGTAGATGAGTTGGCTCCCAAGGAAGGTGGTGGTCCTGTGTTGACATGACAGCACAGACACACTCTGTGGTCCAGTAGGCTCAAGGTGATCAGGTCCCCGTTCCTGCTCTCCACAGACAACCCTGCCACCTTGCCTTTTTATGGAGGGCTGCTCAAGCAAGATCAAAGATCGGGAACATCTATGACTCCCTCTACTCGTTATTTCTCCCGAAACTTTAATCTCACATGCCAGACCTCTCTGACCCAGAGTCTCCAGGGATGACTTGATTTTTAAAGAGAAAAGATCAGGACACTCAGCTCCTAGCATCTACATATAATTTCTGTATCACCTAGATCCTCTACCCCTGCCAAGAGGAAGATTCACCACTATTACCTTATAGGCATGAGATAACCAAACCTATTACCAGATTATCAGTCAAAGCTCCTTATCAACTGGACAAAGAGGTAATAGGGCCCCTGGAAATTTATCAGCACTCTGGAAAAGGGAAGCAGTATTTGCTAAAAGAGCCCACCCTGTTAGCAGGTGTTGATTTTACTGATTAAAGGGTAATTAGGTTTGACTGACTCAGTATATGGAGGAGAAAAAAAAACTTTGGTGACAAAGGGTTTAAGGCTAAACACGGGGACTGGACCTGAGCAGCCCTTTATGTTACTGTTAACAAAGTCAAAGTAGAGGGGAGGAAGTTCACATCAGTGAAACGTGGGGTCTTTTTTTTGTTAAGCCAGTTTGCAAAAACGCCTTCCAAAAGGAAAGCAGAAAGGAGATTAAAGAAAAGATATATAGGCCTTTGACAAACAGGTAATTCAGTTAAAGCCCATCTCCATAATTCCTTATTCCTTAGGGCATCTGGAAACATCAGCTGTGTCTTTCAAACGGAAAGAGGCCACCTGTCCCAACTGCAGCACAGACAAAAGATGGTGTCTCCATCACAGACAGTCTCATGGGGTAAACATGAATCAAGGGGACACCAATGTGGATTTTTCTTTTTAAGAGTAACAGCCCTTGAAATCAAGCCATGCCTTCAAATATGTCTCAGGGATAGGCAATAATACATATGATCATATAAAACCTCTCGGATTCCTTGCCCCCAAAGCCACCCAGAAGGGAAAATAGGCCAATATTGATGCAGTTCAACATTACATCTTGGCTAGGATGACTTCTCTGTCTTTCTCATCACGCTGTAACTATGGAGAATGACTGTTTATTATTAAATAGGATGTTTGGCATAACTCCTCCCTCCAAGGCACAGAAAGTCTTGTGTCTGAGCTGTGCTTTAATAGCATGGCAAAAAGAGCAATGCAGTTGATGTGCCCAGCCTAGGAACTGAAAAATTCCATAGCACCCAGTTATATACACATAGCCTGGGCCTGATCTCAGCACCTCTTAGCTCCCCCTGCAGTAACGGGAGCTGTGGCCACTCAGCACTGAGAAGCAGACAAACCGGGTCCCACCTCGAAAAAGATCAAGGTGCTTTCCCAGCTGGAGACCAACAAGGACTCAGTCATTCAAATTCCTGCATGGCTGTAGCCCAGGACACTTATCAACTGTATCTCAGTCCTCCTTTTTGACTACCATACTTAAGTGCATTGCTCTTTCTCCTTCCATACTTCTACTTTCTCTTTTGCAGATCCTCTCCTTCTCCTGCTACATGTAAAACTGTAATAACTGAAACACGCATGCAGATTCCCAAAGTGCTTTAAAAGTAAGTACAACCGCAGCTGGGGAAACTGAGGCTCAGAGAAGTGAAGCAACTTGCCCAAAGTCACCCAGCCTGTAAATGGTAATCAGGAACGGACACAGTTAGCATGATTCCTAGTTTAGTGCTGTTTGTGCTGATTTTGCTGCCTTCTAGGGTTGATTTGCGGTAACGCTTTCCTATTTTTCACTGACCTTGCATTACTAGCCTCTGCCTCACTGACTCTAAACCATCATCAGCTTGAAGAAGGGCTGGTCAGTAGGAGAGCTGGGCCAGGATTAAGTTTCAGCTAGAGAACTGTATTTAGGGTTGAAGCCATGTTTGATTACACAAACAGTCACAAGCACGCTGGAGTGGGTAACTTCCCTTGGTTGTAAGCAGGATAATAAAGTATTCATGCTAGTAACAGCTACATTTGTACAAACGTGCCAGGTGATTAATCTTGCTTTCTGAACCATAGTACCATTACTTACTTCTTACTATGCTTTTCATTAAGCCTCAAAGCATGTTGCAAAAGAGCACCGTCGCATTCCGCCATTTTACACACGGCAAAAATGAAGCACAGAGCCGTTTGTTCAAGGTCACTCCTTTTTCCACAGTCAGCCAGGCAAAACTCTGGCAGCAATGAGAAAAGATTAAATACTCTCCTGAGTCCAGTAAGAGCTCAGTCCACTTGGCCACATTGCCTCCTTGTAAGTTACTGTAAATTAATAACAAAGTATACATGCATTTATACCCATACTACTATGTCTACGTTGGGTGGAGAGGGCTTCAAATGTAAACTAACAAAGCTGCCCCAGGCCAGAATGGCTTTTTATTGGCAAATATGCAAGTAAAACACTGGGAAGATGAGAGTGGGAGGGAGTAGGAAGGCCTTTTGCTAAATGATGGTGTTAAACGTACGGTCTGAGGCAGGGAGTGAAGTGTAAGTTGGAAGGAGGAAAAGTACTACAGAGATAACAAGTACTGTTCCCAGCAGTGACAGGTCTGAGTTTAAACCAGCAAAAATGTTTGAAGTTCACTACCCCGACGAGAATGGCTTTTTATTCTTTTTTTTTTTTTTTTGGCCTTTTCTCCTAAGTGCATCTTATGGAAGCAGATGGGATTACTCATAGAAGTAAGGGGCTGTTGGCTTTCATCACCAATTTGATGGTGCATGCCTTCATATAATGCAGTATTACAATGCAACACCAAGAATCTCATATGTAAAATCCTTCCCTGTCTCCATATTCAATGTGAAACAACAGCTGTGCAGAATATTCAAACCGATAAGCCTTTGAAGTTT